TATATATATATATATATATATATATATATATATATGTGTTTACATATTTATAAGTAGAAATATATTTAACATTAATATATTATTTATTTTTCCTACGTTATTTTGAAAGTAGTACATTCATACACATTTTTAATTTCAAACATTTAATTGACATTACATGCATAAACATTTCTTTTGCAATATTTTTTAATATTCGTATAATTATGTATATTTTATTCAAACAGGATGAAATCTTTGCTGACCAGTTATCTATCAATTATGCTCATTCATATATCATTGATAGAATTTGTTATGAGCATACCCATCTTGTTATTTTTACCTACATTTAATACAACTATACATATAGGAAATGTATATTTTGAAAAAGAACCTGGAACGATTACACTTCCATCCATAGAAAACACACATTTTGAAAGAGGAACACCACCATCAATGTGGAAATTTGGTTACATGAATGCACCTGTACCATATCATCCGTATAATAACGACCTTGAAGATGGAAGTAGAAATAAAGGTGAAGGTGTATTTGGTAGTGGATTTGGAGGTGCTACTGATAGTCAAGCAATCATAAACGCAAAACCTATAGATTGTGATGTAGGTGAAAAACGTGATGGCAATGGTGTTTGTAGATCTGTGATAAGTTAAAAATCAAAATCCAAAATAAATACATATATGGGCAGTTTATTTCGTGGTTAGAAAACGCATATTATTCACTTAATAATTGCCACTATTTTAATAGAAAATATAAATTGAACACCCCCTTAGATACACTTAAGCAATTAGTATCTATATTTTTAATTATATCTATTATTTATATCTATTATTTTAATATTATATTTTTATTAATATATAATAATAATATTAAATTTATATTTTAATATTATATTATAAATATCTAATATTTTAATATTATAATATATGTATCTATTATTGTAATATTATATTTTTAATTGCATTAAAACGCAAATCCTTCAATATCTCGATTCACACATAAATAGAGTTAGGCCAATTTCAAAATAAACGGCTCATATATGGAAATACTCTTAGCATGAGAACAAAGATCAAATTAATTACATTAATCGTTCTATGATTCTATATATACGTATGTATGTGCTTCAGCATTATATTATTCTTAGAATTGTTTACGATCACATATTATTTACATATTGAAAAATGACAAACATCACGTGGTTGTAACTCTTTGAATAAGTATAAATAGAAGAAACCTTTTTTAAAAGCCAGGATTTACATTCAATCATTGTAACGTATGTCATCTGCTTAAAAAAAAAGAAAAGAAATAAAAGATTTCTTTTACGTGTTTTAATCATAATTTACAATTGTTACAAACAAATCAATCGTCAAAGTATTAATCAATTGTTTCACTTTATATTGGATATTATTATCAACAGGTATGATATTTAATTATTTAAGTAATCATTCAAACAAAGTCATTGTATTTTTGATGATATTTTCAATTGAGATATTTTCAAGAGATAACAAATAATTATAAAACATTCGAATATTTCATTTTAGCAAGATGAAATCTTTGTTGATCAGTTTTTTGACAATTATAGTCGTGCATTTAGCATTGACAGAATTTGTTATGAGCAAACCAAGTTTGGTAGAACTATCTGAAATTCCAATAAGTGCCAAAATAAAAAGAAAAGATGTTGAAAAAGATAATCAACCTGATGTACCTTCACCTACGCTTCTTCCTCCACCCCATAACCCAGCTATCATACCTGAAATATCCATTGGATGTAATATTGGAGAAAGACGTGACATTAATGGCATGTGTAGGTCTTTGATTAATTAAAAAAAAACAAAAAGAAACAAATTATAATGTTAATAACCTTATATAGGTACCTCACACATATTGTTATAATCCTAATAAAAAAAAATATATATATATATACATATCAATTAAAATAAATAATAAGTGTTCGCATTTGTTTGAATAAAGAAATGGATGTAATTTAAAAAAAAAAAAAAGAAAATAGATTCTACATTATTAGGAAAATTATTAATAATTTCTAAATTAATTATTACAATAAAAATTATATAACTATTAATTATTTTAAATATAAATTTTACTGTGATAGTTCAGTAATAATTTTATTGAACTATGATTCTAAAAATTTCGTAAACTTTTTATCTTGTCCTACCACATTTTCTTTTTGTAAGTTTATTGTTATTAATAAATTCTATAATATTAGAAAATAATCATAAATTATTATAAATGTATTTTATACGTTCATAGTTTGCCATTACGAAATTAATTTAAACAATAAAAATCTTCTACATTTTTCTAAAATTTATTTCAAGATTAAACAAATCTTATTCGAGTATCTTTTATAATTATTTTATATTATATTACATTGATTTATGTATATTTATATTTGTTTACTATGATCTAACAAATTATCCAAGCTATGTAAAATAAAAAAGAAATAAAGTCGTGTTTATATTGTAATTAGTAAAACTGATTTGCATGTTGTTTGTTGTCTACGAGTGTTATTTCTATTTAAAAATAAATAATAAGAAATAAATGCACATTGAAATACTCTTTGCAAAAGGAACGAACATGAAATGAATCTCATTAATCATTTGATGATTATATATGTATGTATGCATGTACTTTAGCATCATATTATTCTTAGAATTGAAAACGATCACAAATTATTGGCATATTAAACAATGTTAAATATCACGTGCTTGTAACTCTTTGAAAGAGTATAAATACAAGAAATTTTCTTCAATCAAATTCAATCATTGCAACGTGTCTCATCCGTTTAAATAAAAAAAAAAGGAATTTTTCTACGTGTCTGTATCACAATCAGCTTTTTGTTAGTAAACAAATTAATCGATCAAAGTATTGATCAAAATTGTTTGAATTTTATTTGGAAATATTGGAAATTGTTATCAACAGGTATGCAAATGATTTTTTACAATACTTAATTAAAATACAAATGATTACAATATTTAATTGATTCAACCAATGTCATTTTATATTTGATGATCTTAAAACATTCGAATATTTCATTTTTTAGCAAGATGAAATCCTTATTGATCAGTTTTTTGGCAATTGTAGTCGTGAATTTAGTACTGACAGAATTGGTTATGAGCAAACCAACTGTTGTACCACCTGCATTACTTCAAACACGTTTAAATACAAGAACAACTACAAAAAAACCTATAACAACAACAACAACAACAACTGAAGTTGCTTACACTTATCCAGCTAGATACCCAGCTATCATAAATGCAAGTCCTATAGGATGTAACGTTGGAGAAAAACGAGATGAAAGTGGTATGTGTAGACGTGAGGTATAAAAAAAAAAGAAAACCCAATTACAATTTCGTTTTCTTTTAAATATCTTATCGAATAATAATTAACATATGTAAGTTTAATAACTTTCATATATCTTTTATAATTATTTTATATTATATTACATTGATTTATGTATTTTTATATTTGTTTACTATGATCTAACAAATTATCCAAGCTATGTAAAATAAAAAAGAAATAAAGTCAAGTTTATATTGTAATCAGTAAAACTGATTTGCATGTTGTTTGTTGTCTACGAGTGCTATTTCTATTTAAAAATAAATAATAAGAAATAAATGCACATTGAAATACTCTTTGCAAAAGGAACGAACATGAATTGAATCACATTAATTGTTTTATGATTATATATGGATGTATGCATGTACTTTAGCATCATATTATTCTTAGAATTGATTACGATCACGAATTATGGGCAAATTAAACAATATTAAATGTCACGTGCTTGTAATTCTTTGAAAGAGTATAAATACTAGAAATCTTCCTCAAATTCAAAAATTTAAATTCAATCATGTCTTATCCGTTTAAGTAAAAAAAAAAAAAGGATTTTTTCTACGTGTCTCTATCACAATTAGCTTTTTGTTAAAAAAAAAAAAAAAAAAAAAAATTAATCGGTCAAAATTGTTCAAATTTTATTTAGAAATATTGGAAATTGTTATCAACAGGTATGTAAATAAATTATATTTAATTGATTCAACCAATGTCACTTTATTTCTGATGATTTTCAAACATTCAAATATTTCATTTTAGCAAGATGAAATTCTTGTTGATCAGTTTTTTGGCAATTGAAGTCGTGAATTTAGTACTGACAGAATTGGTTATGAGCAAACCAACTGTTGTACCACATCTATTACTTAAAACACGTTTACATACAATAAAAACTACAACTACAGCAACAACTACAGCAACAACAACAGCAACAACACCTGAAATTTCTTTTATACCTCTAGCTGAATACCCAGCTATCATACATGTAAGTCCTATAGGATGTGATGTTGGAGAAAAACGAGATGAAAATGGTGTGTGTAGACGTGAGGTATAAAAAAAAAAAAAAAAAGAAAACAAAATTAAAAATTCATTGTAAATGTTTAAATTGTAAATGATGTGAATGTTTAATTATGATTATACTTATATTGTATCATAAAATTTATATTTTTATTGAATTTAATAATTTAATAATATATTATAATATATAATATAATTTACAGATTATCTATCTATATATATATATACAAACATAATAAAATAAAATAACAGATTTGTTCACTTTAACGTTAACATATACATATAAATATAGATGTATAATCACAGTAGCGTAATAAAAAAAAAAAATTTGATTTATTTTGCTTTTATCTGTCGAGGGGGATTGGTGCAAATCTCTGAAGTGATATCATTCACACCGATGCGATCGATTAACCCGTCCATGAAAACGTTTCCGGTGCTTTTCGACCCGTAAAGAGAAGGCCAGCTGTCGTGAAAAAGTTTAGGAAGACAAACGATAACCTTTCAGAGCTGAGCCGGGCCAGACTGGGCCAAGTTTTCGCGTATTTTCGGAAGGACGAATGCACCAAGTCTTTCTACTCAATGTGGAAACAGCAGGTTCCTATTCTCGTATAACCTGTGAAGTGTTTCTAATTGAAAAGTTTCCTTTTTTTTTTCTCTTTTTTCTTTTATTTTACGTTCATACATTTCTAGAGAGATACCAACTGTATTATAACATTTCATTTTATTGCATAATTCACCAATACAAATATATTTCCTATACATGCATTTCATTCTATTTTTTTTTTTAATTGAAATAATTTAATTTTAATAATCCTATCTATACAAATTCCATAAAATAATTCAATTAATTAACAAACAAATACTAAACTTTAAAGTACAATAATATCAATAACATTACAGCACGATGTGTATAACGTACCAATAAAAACAATCAAAATTAATAAAACAAAAGATGATGATAATAAAAACATGAAGAACAACGTGGGGGGGGATGGGGGAAATATGAAGAAAAAAACCATAGAGCAAAAGGGGATAAAAAAAAAGTACAATAACAACAACAACAAAAAATAGAAAAAAGATGAAATTTTAGTAACCAGGGAGCGTGACTCGAAACGATCCTTCGAATGTTCGAAAATGGTTAGGAGGGTTTATTTACGATGGGTTTATTTTCACGGGCACATGCACATATACTCATACACAAACACACACATATATAAACACAGGTCCAGTAATTTCGTATACGAAGTAGAATAGCCGGTACGATCGTAAATAAGAGACGACGAGACAAGGGTCTCGTGAAAAGGAAATAAAAAGAGGTACCCTACGATCGCGTCCACTTAACAAAAGTTACGCCCGCATTTCTACCCCTACTCTCATCCATCCCCTCCTCAAACCTACATTCTCCCTCTCTCCACCTACTCGTAGATCGAGAAAAACGAATACGTACGTAGAGAGAAGATACAATATACGTTATCCGAATAAATTAACGCTGTTTGTTTAGCACGATACTTTTTTTAAAAGCCCCAACCCCCCACCCCTAATAGCAGATTCGATCTCTCTTTTTTTTACAAATACAATCACCATTATCAATAGTGGTGTTAGTAATCACCCATTTCCATTGTTTCTTTTCTCTTTGTGTTCATTTCTTCTTCTCACCCCCATCATCACAATGTTTGTCCCATCATCTTTTCTGAAATATTATTTTACTTGAACATGTTATTATAATTAATTAGGATTAATAGTTTAAGAGGTAAGGGTTTGCTAGGAATTATTTGAAAATATATATATATATATATAGTTTATTAGCATAAAGGGAAATCCAAATTTGAAAAGTTAGATAAGAAAGTTACACTTTGATTCTACCTGCAAATACATTTGGGTTTTTCTTTTGTTTCAATTGTAATTATCTAAATTTATTTTTTAATTTAATAAAATAATATATAATAGTATGATAAACCCTCCCTTGACCCGGTGTAATTAATTATACCAAAATATTTATAATCAAATTAAAGAAAAATCAAGAAACTGAGACAGGAAGCATAAAAAAGGAAAAAAAAGAGGAAAGAATGAAAAAGAAGGGGTAGGTGGGTGGAAGAGTAGGAATGGGGGGATAAAAATTCACGGTCTCTACCCCTATACTCCAATTATCGTACGACCAATGTGCAAAAAGCATGCGAGAGAGGAATTAACGTCTCCCACCCCATGCCACCAGTCATCGAAAATACAAAAAAGAAAAAAGAAGAAAATAAAAGGAATAAAGAAATAATAAAACCTCAAGGGTTGAAGGAGGAGAAAGAAAAAAGGGTGGTGGAAATCTCGATAACGAATGTGGACGTAGTCCGATATGAGAATAATAATAATAATAATAATAATAATAATAATAATAATAATAATCATTATCATCATACAGGTACTCGAGAAATATATTCGGTACGTGAGTACCAAAGGATCCGAAGTTATCCTTGTAAGTTCATCTTCAATCATCGATCGTTGATATCACTGTCGTGTCCTTCGTTAATATTCGATTATTTTATCTACTTCTACCCCTACTCTAATCCCCTACCACTTTACTAAAACCACTAACCCTTCCACTGTCTTTCTTTCTTTCTCTCTTTTAACGTTTTAATCCTTATCGGTCATAATTCACATGAGAAGTAACTTACAAATAATAAAAATATGTTTAATAATAATTTGAATAATTATTAATTTATTATATTTGTAGTATATATAATATTATGCTATATTATATTATATAATATTATTATAATTAAATTATATTACAATAATTATATATTATAATAATTATATAATTAATTATTTTATTATATTATATTATAATAATATAATTATTAAATTATTATAAATAAATAAATAAATAATAAGTTATTTTTATAATACTGAAAACAATTTTGTTAAATATTTACCAAATTTACCAAAACCATTTGTAACTTTTCATTACTGAGAATCATAAATATAAAAATCTGATGACCATTAAGGGTTAAAATATTAACTTTCTCTTTTTATCTTCCCCTTTTTATTTTTTTTTTACTTTCTTTCTATTATTTTTATTAAAGCTCTCCCTTTCTTTCTGATGTTCGTGCATTGAAATGATTCAGACAGTTCGATGGACACCCAATCGACGTTTTGAAACTAACGAGAAAGAGTCAGACTGACTGACGATTGACTGAGTGACTGCTGGTGGTGGTTGGTGGTGGTTGGTGGTGGGCTCATCATCGGTTTTGTTCGACGTTGCGTTATACTTCAGAATAAGGGAAAGAAGGGAAAGAGTCATCCAGAAATCGTTCGTCCATTTTCTTCGAGTGCCAATTGCCCGACATAGGTGTTCCAAATGAATACTCGAACAACCATACGATTGATTTTATTTTCTTTTTTTTTTTATCTCTTTTTCTTCAACCCTTTCATTTCTACATTTCTCTTTTTATCTTTTTTCTTCCTTTTTTTCATTTTTTTTTTGCTTTTATTCTTTCTATATGAGAAATGATAGGAAAAACAATCATGCTAGATGATTTTATTAAATTTACTAGGGGATAGGGGTGGTTCTTTTTTCTTCTTTCTTTTTTTCGATTTTTTTCCTACCTTTATTAAAGAGTTCAAAAAGTTCGTTTGTAAAAAAGGGTTAACTTCTTTTTTTTTTTAATTCTTTTTGTTATACCGATCATCTCTGATTTTTCAATTTTTATTTTACGTGGAATTGATTGGTCAAACTAAAAAAAAAAAAAAAAGAAAAAATTAACCAAATAAATAAATAATTTAACCAATTGTAAATGAAAATTAAAGTAAATAAAAATAATTAGAAAAATCGTGAAACTTTTCTTTCCCGTAATTTTTCTTATTTTGTATAACAAATTGCAAAAACTATGAGTAAAAAAGGGATCAAGAAAAATCTCTCATTCCAAATGGTTCTTTCTAATGGTATTCCATCGAGTAGGATTTTCTTCCTGCTTGGAAAATACTCTAGGTATTGGGATA